ATAAAATAAATAGATAATAGTCTCCTTCACCTGCCCTRTCTTGAAAGGCAGCCGTTCCTTTGCATCRAAGTGAGACGACCRTTGAGYGTGCAATGATAGAAAYCTTCTTTCACACCTACAGACAATTATTCACAGGTATCTATTATTGCATGCTCAACGGTTGTCTTGCTTCGATTTAAAGTCACGGCTACCTTTCAAGATGGCGCAGGGAACTGTGAAGGAGACTATTAAATACAAGCATGAAGTATAATGTATATATATGTATATATAATGTATATATAAAGTGTATGTCTGACCTCCTATTGTAAAGGGCTGCCTGACACACATACCACCAAGGGGTATGGAATAAACCTGRCCACCATTTCGTTTATCCCATCCAGCACAGATGATACCAGCACTGACTTGATCTCTGTAGCCATAACACATCTCCCTGAACAGACTGGCTGCTGTTTTGACCTCTACTTGTGCACCTATTTCAATGCTAAATAGAGATACATGTAATTCATGTTAGAGGGCCACTGTCAGCCAGCATTCAATACATCTTTTTTTTGATTTTTCATGTATATGGAAAATGAGGTGACTTCAAATATCTATCTGCAATCGATTTCCATCTGACAGTTTTAAGGTTGAAGTTTACAATATCTCCATTCATAGAGCATAAAGGGATAATATAGAGCAAATTTTCGCTTAGATTTCAATGTAATTATTCTTCGTTTTCAAGTTGCGTCACAGCGGCCATCTTGGAGGAAATTCAACAATGGATTTCTTATGAGTATCCATTAGTTATTCCTCCAACATGGCCGCCAGTCTTTTATCTTTTGAATCTCATGGGAATGGTTGAAAATGATCAATATTTTCAAACTTAAGCGAAAGCTGGTAAGGGATGCTGCTTGACCATGGCCCTTTAAGCCACTGTGAGCTGTGTTAATTAAGGGACTCTACCCACTCCCCCACATACAATGAAGAAATACAATGAGTGCATTCAACTTACTTATAGAAGTTTAAGTGATATTTRATGATATCCGCAATAGCTTGTGTATCTGCGGCAGAACCAGAACGACAGCAGAATATATTCTCAGTTATTGGTGTGAGTTTGTCTGTCACTCTGTTTGCAATGTAAGCSCTGTGGATAATAAAATATTGTATTTAAAAATATTGTATTTGTAATAAAATATTGAAATATATTTAAAATATTGTATTCCTATCCTATCCTATGAAATTGGTATAATATATATGCAAAAACTTTAATCCATCAGTCAATTAATCAATTATTAAATCTTTGCTGTTGTTGCGTAAATTAGTCGATCATTTGAGCACACATGAAATACTAGTTAAAAGAAGCATGGTGACATAGACCTTTTCTGAGATACGAAATCATGGTGCATTGTGGTCTAGTTTTAGTACAAACAACACCATATTTGGCCACATGAACAAAAGATGTTTGTACCGAATCTAGACCACGATGCAAAGCGTCATGCTATTTCAGAAAAGGCCTATGTCCCTGAATTATAATTTAGGTTTAATTCCCATATGCACAATGCAAAACTTATCATACAAAAAGATCCAAACATTCCCACACATAAATAACAGTTTTCAGTCAAATAACAAGAAAAGTTTGGATCAATGAAGTTCAAAAAAAAGTTTTTACCCGGTAGTCGTTCGTGAGTCAGCTCCAATGACAACCCCTCCGTCGTATTCMACCGCCATAACCGTCGTCTAAACACGTAGAAAACACTTCAAAATTACACATTAAAATCTTTGATACATAGATTTTCTTTCAGAAAGCTTACCCCAGTTAAATGTTTGGCTGACATCCATTCTGGAGTTAAAGAAGAAGATTGCATTGTCATTCCTGCTGCCGCCATGTTGGATTCAATGAAATGTTCGCAGGGCGCGCYGGGTAATAACTTTTGGGATCCCTTTGGAGTTRCAGGAAGCCCGGAAGTGGGGCAGAGCGTTCACAACATGCCGGCCATTTTGGTCGAAAACATATGGTTAATCTTCGAAAAGAGCTCTKTCTTTTAATGTTTTGATAAATTAACAACTTGAGAATGGCTCAATCTCTACTCACCGGCTTAAAGAGCCGTTCTGACGAGGCGCGTCTCCAAGCTGCGAAGGATTTACAATATTATGTCTCAACTGAGTTGAGAGAGGCTTCTGCTGAGCAGCTCACTTCATTTATGGACGATTTCAAYCAYCATATWTTTGAGATGGTATCAAGYTCTGATGCTAATGAAAAGAAGGGTGGGATCATGGCTATTGGTAAGATATATCAGATTTGATTTTATAGCAAAAATGTGTAAAATTTCAAAGCTTTTGGAGTAACTTAAGGAGTAACTTAAGCTTAAGACATAATTAGTGTACTTACTTAAGTTATATAAAAGTTACTGTAGTTGTGAAATACTATTGTTCTTGCTAGCTGTCGATATTATATTTATTGTGTAAAAAAACGTGTACTATTAATGTTCTTTCTTGTATATAAGTAAATTATTATGCAAAGTTTAATTAACAACGATATTCAGACCTAATCTTTATTGCTGAAGTTTAACAATATGACCAAGAGCTCCCCCAGAAGAATACCTCAAAAAGTTAGGAATGATTTGATACTTTACTTTCACCCARCATGGAAACTGTTGCATAACTTGTAACCTAATAATTGGGCCTTCTACTATTTAATGGGCATACATGTAACTGCAGTGAACGAGAGGGGAACCATATTTGGTTTCATGCTAGATGACATCAAATCGCAGGGTACATGTGCTTGACTGTGTGCTAGTATCCTCACAGCTGTTTTCTTGTTGGGATCCCTGTTTTCCCTACATCTTTAGTCTCCAAGGAGACTAAATAGTTTCAAAACATAAAATGTGACTTCTCTCCTTTAAGTTGGTTTACTTGGAATATCTGGTGGTGGAAATGCATCCAAAATGACAAGATTTGCMAACTACTTGCGTAATCTTTTGCCGTCCAATGATACCATGGTGATGGAGATGGCGTCAAAGGCCATGGGTCTCCTCGCACTGACAGGAGGGACATTTACAGCAGACTATGTTGAGTTTGAAGTCAAACGAGCATTGGAATGGCTTGGAGGTGACAGGAATGAAGGTCGACGTCATGCAGCGGTGAGTAGATGGTTTAGTTTTTAAGTACATGTATAATGAATAGGCCGTTTGCATTATGACGTAACTTTACTACAACTACCAGAGAGCCTTGCACATTTTCATTGTTTTCAGATTTTTAATCCCCTTGAAGATTAATAAAACAATTGACACTAATTGCATTACAAAAGCAAGTTGGCAAAGCATTCTGGTAGTTGTAGTAAATGACGCCATAATGCAAATCGCCTATTGGCATCAGAATCTGAGTCTTTCTAATGCTTGTCTTTTGTTTCTTAAGGTACTTGTATTGAGAGAACTGGCTTTAAATGCACCCACATTCTTCTTTCAACAAGTTCAGCCATTCTTTGATAATATTTTCAATGCAGTTAGAGACCCTAAGGTAAGGATGGGTGCCCTCTCAAACCTGAAGATCCTGTAATAAAAGAATAAATAAATGAACAAATAGATGGACAGATGGAAGGAAGGAAGGAGGGAGGGAAGGAAGGATGGAAGGAAGGAAGGAAGGATGGAAGGAAGGAGAGAAGGACATTAGTTTCAGTAGTTCTTCTCGTTTATTATCGTCATCAGTTGGTGACAGGGACTGCAAGGCTTGTTAATGAAGTGTGGTGTGGACAAAGCATTGTAGATGTTGAAAAGCATCTTCCTACATCAGGAAAAAACAGAAGTTAGAATTGTGTGAATGAAAGGATGGAAGAACAGAAGGGAGGGAAGGAGGGCAGAAGAGAAGGAAGCGAGGGAGGGAGGAAGTTAAGAAGGAAGGAGAAAAGGGAGGAATGAAGGAAGGAAGGAAGGAAAGAAGGAAGGAGGGAGAGAGGGATGGAGGGAGGGAGGGAGAAGAGACAGATGGAATACAAACCTAATTAAAAGGAAATTTAGAACCACAATTTTTTTTTTTTTATTTATTTTTTTCTATTTCCTGGTATCTTGATCTACAAAACACTAGCTTAATTTCTGTCCCAGTTATTATTTCTGATGATAATAATATCATTAATATCACATGTGATTCTCCTTGCTTTGCAGCAAGCTATCCGTGAAGGGGCTATGGAGGCCCTCAAAGCCTGTCTCGTCATTCTTGCTCAAAGAGAAACTAAAGAGATTAGAAAGCCACCATTGTGGTATAGTGTAAGTTGAATTTACTGCACTTATAGAACCTGAAATACTGTATTTGAGAATTTTTTAGGACAGTAGGTACAGTATTTTAATATTATTTTAAATAATATCATCTAATTATCTATGAAATACCTATATTTCTCTCTTCAAAACGTTGTAATAACATGCACATTCGAGGTTTCTCTATATATTGGAAGCAAAAAGAAAGCCAGGGTATTTTATGACATAAGTTCCTTTCAAATATAATTATAAGATAAACAGAATATTACCTGGTCACCTGGAGATACATGTACGATTTTATCTTCCTCTGTTGAAAATCTCTCACTCGTTTGTTAGCTCATTCGTTAGCTCTAGATCTTTTCAACACTCAAAGATAAAATCTGTATGACTGTATAATATCCTCTACATATATAGTGCTCTGTAGGACTCTTATACATTCGCTCTTCTAGCAAACCTATGAGGAAGCCAAGAGAGGATTTGAAGATACAGTGAATACAAAAGAAAAGGGAGTTGTACTCACCAAAGAAGACAAAGCCCATGGGTCTCTACTAATCATAAATGAACTTATCAGAAGTGCAGGTCCAGAGGGAGAGGTAAAGAATAAGATGTAACCACAAATTGTTACACGTAATAACTAAAGAGTTGTTTTTTTTAATGAATGGTGAGGTACTGCATCATTTACAAGCTTATTTTTACGTTTTAAAGTAAAAATTCATCCTAATATATCCAAAAACTCATTCTTTATTAAAGTGTCTGCCTAACTGACTTAAAGATGACTTGTCTGACCAACTGTCTGACTTAGACAGAAAGGTGTCTGGTTTTTGGTCAATTTAGACAGCAAAGTGCCTAGCTAACAGTTCGACTTAGACGAAAAAGTAGTTGTTTAAYTTATGTACTTAGACGAAAAAGTGTTTGGCTAACTGTGCGGTTTTGACGGAAAAATGACTGATTAACTGATTGACCTACAATCCAGTATTATGACAATGGCTTCTTATGAACATGCCTGTTCTTAGTCACCTCGCAGTCATTCTTAGTGGTGGGCTCCCTGTCCCCTGTTGGCTGTGAGGAGAATAGCCTGTATTGTATAATGAAGTTTACTTTCAACTATTCTGTTGTTCTTTTTTCTCAGCATTTCAAGAAAGATCTCGAAGACATCTACTCAGATCAAACCCAGACCAGTGTRAGCCTCAACGACCTGGGAATCACATCGCCGAAGAGTAAATTCTCCCAACAAACAGGCATCCTTAATCAACGTACCACACTATCCTCTATCGTTGGTAGTGGTCTGGGGGAAGTTAGTCCCATGTGTCACAGCAAAGTGTGTAAGGAATACATGGAGGTTAAATTTGTGGAGGTGAAGATTGTTAAGCACCCTTTAGATCTATTATAGTCTTATACAAATTATTAATCTGCTAATTGTTAATAATTTCTTATGCATATTTCATRTTTATATATTTTATTGTTATTATTATACTTTAGATTTATCTTGATGGCCCAGTGGTAGATTAGTCTCTTACTGAACTGGTTAACCATCATTAAATATAGTTTTTATTATTATTATATATTATTATTATTGTTATTATTTTGATTTTATTTGCTTTTTTTATTGAGATTTGTTAATCATAATTAAATTGAATAGAAAAATAGGCAAGGTAATATCATATAAGATTACAAAGAAGAGAATGATATTTGATACCTGTAATTAAAAATATTAATCATTAATCAATTATTGATTATCAATAAATTGTTTATAAATGGAAATAATGAATTAATATTGATTCGATATTATCAATGAATTTTTAGTTAAGTTCATTTATTAACTAATATTAACTATTAATTTATTATTGATATATTATTGATTTGATTATTATTAAATCAGTAATCAAAGAACTAGTTTTAATATTTCCTCCAGGTGTGTGGATTGGTCCTCAGATACAAAAATATCCGCAGCAGTTGCATACAGCAAACTTTGTTGACCCTTATACCAAGACTTGCTGCATTCCAGCCTCAAAGATTTGTTAAAACGTAAGACCTTTTGATAAAACCTTGTAGCTAAAAAAAAACGTAGACTTTGTGAATTACAGCATGTTGCTTATTGTTTTAAACTCAGATGAACAAAATTAATATTTTGTTGAATTTCTTTGGTTAGATATCTTCACAAAGATGTAATTCCTTATCTTATTGGAGCACTTAAGAGAGTAAGTGTCAAAATTAGCTCATAGAACTAATGAATAATTCATGATTTATTGGTCAYAGTTGACTTTTAGGACCATGTGATATTTCTAATCATTAATTATTATAAACATGAAGTAAAATGATAATTATCTTTCATCCTAAGGATAGAGAAAGGTCCTCGGCATTCAAAGCTGTCAGTTTGGTTGCCATAGCAGTGAAAAATAACATTGAACCACATTGCAAGATCATACTGGAGCAGGTTAAAGCCTTTTTACCAATTAAAGACTTGGGACACAAGTAAGAATAGTTCACTTTTTTTCCTTTTTTTACCTTATTTTTGATCTTATTTCATCTTTATAAGTGTGGCTTTGGTTGTAATTTGTAGAGTAAAAACTAACGCAAGTAAGTTTGTATTTGTGATCATTTTAATTTGAGCTCGATGTTTCGACGCTTTCTGGCGTCATTCTCAAGAGGAAATACATTTATTTAATATATTCAAAAACGTTATTTCATCTTACTGTACTTTTGATGATTCTCATAATGTTCTTTCTTTTTGACCCTTCTCCCCTCCCTTCCTTCTTTTTCCTTCTTCCCTTCCATTTTCATTCCTTTTTTGAAACTCTTCCTTCCTTTCTTTTTCTCATTCATCCTTTTTGCCTCCTCTCCATTTTCCCTGCATTTTCTCCAACTATTCCTTATAGTTGGTCCACCCTCCCTCCCCTCCTCCCTACATGTACCTCCCTTGCTCATTCTGGTAACCACCCCCTCTTCCCAATATCTTCCTATTTGGCTTCTTTTCACCCAACCTTTCTTTCTCTTTACTGCTGTTTTCCATTTTCCGCGAACTTTAACTCTGGGAACTTTAACGGTCATTTGCTGTTTTTGCTCCCGTCAATCAAAATTCCGAAGTAAACGAACTGCTTTCGTGACTCCTCCCACAAAACCGAACCAAGTCCAAAAGTCCGCCATCTCGAACATCTCCAATATCCCTGTATATCTTCAAAATTTTGTGCACAAATGTCTATCCAACAGGCAGTACTTGGAAGACGTTTTTGGGGGAATGTGGCCGACATGCATGAAAACAATTCTCTTTCGGACTTGGTTTGGTTTTGTGGGAGGAGTCATGAAAGCAGTTCGTTTACTTCGGAATTTTGATTGACGGGAGCAAAAACAGCAAATGACCATTAACATTCACAGTGCTAAAGTTCGCAGAAAATGGAAAACCGCAGTAATTACACTCCTCTAGACTCCTTGCTCTCTTTACTACTCTATCTTGATATATTGTTCTGATGTATTCAATGTTAATTTTTCAGACGTCAAAAGTCTGTAACAGTGGATCCAATGGTCTTTGCTTGTGTTGCCATGATGTCTCGTGCTGTTGGCCCTAAGATATCTAAAGACATCAAAGACTTGCTAGAACCCATGTTGTCAGTTGGACTTAGGTATTCACTCAATAACTTAACAAGTTCTTAGAGAACAAGGTCTTAGGGGGGAGTCCTTCACAGTCCTTTCACAAGATCTTATCCAATTGGCTTACTAGCAACAATAGAATTTAAGAACAAGGGAACAATGAGCATTGTTTTATTCCTCCAATCACAAGAAACCTTACAATCTCATGAAGGATAACATTCTTAGGGAACACGCTATTAGCATTATTTTCTGTAAAGAAAACAATGGATTTTGAGTTATATTTTTGGAGTTATAGCCATTTGAAAATGACACAAATAACATCAAGTAAGKAATTAGATTTCATTGTTTAGACTAACTTGTGTCAATGTCAATGTAATTTRTTGTATTCAGCCCTGCTTTGACTGCTTGTCTACATGACCTGGCTCACCAAGTTCCACAGCTGAAGAGAAGCATTCAAGGTAGTTTACTTGAAAAATCATATGATTGATTGTAAACTCATCACCTAATGACTCTTGTATCCTTGGTAATTTCTCAACTTCAAACTTTTCTTTGGTATCACTTCAAGGCAGGCAAGGTTCTATGACTTTGGTACTCAAATATATGAAGTCTGAGTATAGCTTATGTTTATATTGCTTTGTTTGTCTTGATAGATGGCTTGTTGAAGATGCTGTCACAGATTCTAATGCACAAGTCACTGAGACATCCTGGAGCACCCAAGAGTAGCACACCAACTCTAACACAATCTGGTAACAATGATAATTGATTGATTGATTTGTTAATAGACAAGATTGATTGGTTGAGTGTTGATTGATTGATTTACTCATTGATTAATTGATTGATTTCATGATTGTCTGATTGGATGAATGAATGATTGATTGATTAATCTCTTTACTTTCAGCATCGTCCCATTCCCTGCTTGATACCATTGATAGTGCAAGTACAGTATTAGCACTGCGAACATTAGGAACCTTTGACTTTGATGGTAATACATTCATGAATATTAACCCTTTGACGCCCGCTTTAGGGATTATCACGACCGATGTTTGTAAAAATTTGCAAGTTTCCGAGATCGCAAATTAAGACCACTAAATGTAACACATGACAACAGCTAGTAATGAAACTCTATCTCAGAGTTGAGAACATTTCAGATTTCAGTACGATTCGTGGGCATTAAAGGGTTAAATGATCCACCATAGAAAAGTGAAGGGGGTGGGGGTGGGGTTGGGGAACTTTCATCATCATAATAACTTCCATGGCATTTTCCACGGCTGTTTGAAGTTGCTTCTTCTTCAATTTGCTGAATGTACAGTTTTATTCATGTCATCATGAATACCAGGTTTTAGATGCAATATCATTGTTTTTCAGGTCTAGAGCGTAATCACGCCCACCTTGTGAGACAGTGTGCAGACACATTCCTTGCCAGTGAGGACAAAGATACCAGGATGGAAGCTGTCAGGACTTGTTCAAGACTCCTTTCACCAGCAATACATGTCAGTGTAGAATACTTTGTTTTTGCTCATACTTTCATTCTTTGCTTGCGTGCGTTCGTTGATTCGTTGGTTGGCTCGTTTGTTCATTCGTTCTTTCGTTTCCTTTTTGTTCGTTGGTTCGTTGGTTCTTTCGTTTCCTTTTTGTTCGTTCTTTTATTCGTTTGTTTGTTCATTTGTTTGTTCGTCCGTTGGTTCTTTCGTTTCCTTTTTGTTCGTTCTTTTATTCGTTTCTTTGTTCATTTGTTCATTCATTCGTTCATTTGTTCATGTGTGCATGTGTGCGCATGTGCTTTCGTTTATCCCTTCATTCAGCCATTCATCTCTTTGTTCACTAAACTCTCATCCAGCCAATAATCTACTCCATCACTAATAACTCATTAATAATCACCAATCGTTCATCCTTTGATTTCTATTGATTTGTTTCTATAGCCAATGGTGTCAGCCAACCCTTCATTACAGCGTGGTCCAATCAGTGCTTCGTCTACAAATATAGTWTCAGAAGTATTAAGCAAAATGTTGATGGTTGGGATTACCGATCCAGGCAAGACACAACATWCTTACAGTACCATGTTATATTTTGTTACCAGACTTGTATACAGTCCTTTCTCATGCTCTTTTAACGGGTCGCGTTGCATCAGGGGAAGTCCTAACTCGCACAAAGAAACGTCGTTACTTTTTCGTTCGACTTCCCTTGATCCTTTGCGCGTGGCAGAGAAAAATAAAAGAAAAACGACTGGGCACGAGTCTGTTTTGTAACACTATAGCGATACACCTTATTACTAAAACTTTGTCCAGAGAAAAAGATCTTAATTAATTAATTAGTATTTTAATTAAATAGAATTAATTAAAATACAAAAGAAAGTGTTCAGCTTTAGTGGTGATCTTCTGTATTTGAACGTATTCCTAAATCCATAAATCACAGAACAACGTTTTTGTAATAGAATTCTGAACCTTTTACGCCACTACTTGATTTACAATGCATTCTGGGATCAGTTTCTAGAGAACACAGAAATCCACCATGTTCTGTCCCAACATATCCTACAATGCATTGCAAATATGGTAAGTTTCAGAGGTCTATTAGGTGTATACATAATGTTTATGCCATCTGCATATACGTACTGTCCTCGTAATCGTGTTTACAGTAGATTTGGTCACGCCACCTCTCCACGAGAGGTTGCGTTACGCGTGACCGAAACTAAGGTTGCGTTACGTGTGACCGAAACTAAGGTTGCGTTACGCGTGACCGAAACTAAGGTTGCGTTACGCGTGACCGAAACAAAGGTTGCGTTACGTGTGACCGAAACTGAACACGGCTGCGAGGAGACTAGTTAGGGTGTTGTCTCATTTCTGTTTTTCATAGGAGGTTATAATGTTGTTTTTCTAGATCCTGATATTCGGTACTGTGTATTGATTTATTTGGATGAAAGGTTTGACGCTCACCTCGCGCAGGCTGAGAACCTTGCTGCTCTATTTGTTGCTTTGAGCGATGAGGTGAGACATAAATGAATGCAAGAATGGGATGAATGAACTTTGAAATTGATGGATGGATGGATAAGAAGACGAAGAGATGGATGAATGCATGTTTACACTAGTTTCCATTTAATTTATTTGTTGCTTTGAGCGATGAGCTGAGACATAAATGAATGCAAGAATGGGATGAATGAATGAATAATGAAATGAATGAACGTTAAAATTGATGGATGGATGGATAAGAAGATAAACAGATGGAGGGATGTTCAAATTAGTTTCCATTTAATTTATCAGGAGTTTGAAATACGTGAAATAGCTATCATTATCATTGGTCGTCTAAGTCGTTTAAACCCTGCTTATATCATGCCATCTCTCCGGAAGACGTTAATTCAGGTAAGGATTCTAAACAAAAAATTCCTTGGAAAACAAAATAAAATAAACTGTTTATAGGATACAATTTAAAATCATAATAAAGTTTACACAATAAGCGTGATAAGATACAAGACAAATCGCCTTTTCTCATCTGTCCAAAGCTTTACCATTGTTTCTGAACTTGTGTATGAAAAAATTACTGGAAAAGTTGATCAATTTACAGCGTCAGTAAATTTACTGTAAATTCTTCAATTTACAGCTACAGAATGTCCTTTAATAAACTTTGTAAATTAATTTTACAAGATATTTACAATGTTTGATCGAGCAAAATTACAAGATATTTACAGGATGCACATAAAATTCACGAACTTTGTAAAAGGATATTTTTTCTGTGCATTGAATTTACAGTATATTTACAAAACTCTGGAAACTGATCAACTTTACCAGCGAGTGGGGATATCATTATTGGAAATAACTAATTTCTTTTTTGTTCCATGACATTAACTTAAGATCCTCACTGAGCTTCAGTACAGTGGAGTGGCCAGGAACAAAGAACAAAGTGCCCGTATGTTGGGTCATCTTGTCTCCAACGCACCCATGTTGATACGACCTTACATGGAACCAATACTAAAGGTAGGCCCATTCCTAATATTAAAATGGTGGAAACTAGCAGTAAACTAGTGTGAGCTGCGTCGGTGTTTCTAAAGAAACAGTTGTGTAAAAAGATAAATTTAACACCGTAAAAAAGCTACGTAGGTGAAAGAGCTTACTAACGTTTCGGACGTTAATCCTTCGTCGGAGTTAAGAGGAAGGCATTAACTATGAGTCAAGACGAAGGATTAACGTCCGAAACGTCAGTAAGTTGTTTCACTACTTTTACGGTGTTAAATTTATCTTTTTACGCAACCATTCCTGATGTTGATTGACTGGTTTGTTATTACTGAATGGAAGGAGGAATGGATGGAGGAATGAAGTAATAAGTTGATGAATATAGAGTACAAACACTAAAACTGTGCAACATAAATACCACTAAATACTGCTAATTCTATTGTTTTCTATTGTTTAATTAACACTATTTTGTAGAAAATAGTGGAAAGTGTTGCACACATTTAATGTTTGTACTCTATAGTAGTAATTACTAATTTTTGTTTGCAGGCTCTTATTCCCAAATTGCGTGACACTGATCCTGAGGTAGTCATCAGCGTCACAGCAGCAATTGGCGAGCATGCGCAGGTAAAYCGTGATRACCGMCAGAAAATATTYATTARAAATATTAGTATACACAAAAGTGCGTGTATTTTATTCTATGTGAATAATTGTTTCGTTTAGATTTGTGGCAAGGAGATGTGTAAGTGGATGAACGAGTTGTGTCCAATTCTTATTGACATGCTYCAAGATGCATCTTCGATGCCTAAACGCGAGGTAAAAACTCTKCCATTTTTATAGTGTATCAGTGTAAATTAACTTAGAAATTTGTACGGAAAGAACTGATATAGTGAAAGCACTCAAGCAAACTAAAACTTGTACTGCATTCCTAGCCTCCGTAGCAGACGTTCTTAGCGGTTCGATTCTCTCCCGCAGAGAGAATCGAACTGCTAAGAACGTCTGCTACGGAGGCTACTGCATTCCTTTGTTTTCTATTGTCTAATGTACAATACAGCCAATTATAGAAATTATGATTATTTTGACTCATATTCCAAGTATACATAAAATATATCAGAAATGATSGGATATCAGCTCCAAAGTTGCCTAGCGCTAGCACTTACTGAAAAAAATCTTGGCATATATATGCTTGAAATGTGAGCAWAAAAACAATACAATTTCTGCAGTACATCATACTATTATGTTTGCAATATATCAAAATAATATGAATATAATTGTGTATCTTGTTCTTGCAGATTGCACTCTGGACTCTTGGTCAGCTAATAGGAAGCACTGGGTATGTATACGCTCTTGTGTTGTCAATGGCTCTCGTTTTTCACCTTGTCTAAGCACTTGCACCTTGTGAAATATTGAACAGGCCACAAACGACGAGAATAATACTCCAGTTTCGAATTCTTTTTTGTGCAAGCTTAGCTTCAATCAAGAATAAATTGTTTATTATCTTCTTTGTACACAGAGTGTTTGCATTACAATAGGATCTCTGCTGAATAAAAGAATATATTACATGCTTTCGAGGTTAAGGCTGCACAAATAAGATCTTGAAACTAGAGTATTGACGCTGAACTTGAACAACAAATGTTTTTTCTCTAACTCTCGTATTTTCCTGCCTTAATTCAAACAATCTTGGCATCGAGACTGCTCTAGTTTAAAGATCACATGAGTCTTTTACAATTGTGTTGAAAGTAATTGTTTTTCTACATCGATATTTTAGATATGTGGTTGAGCCATATCGAAAGTACCCCAACTTACTGGATGTATTATTGAACTTCCTCAAAACCGAACAAGCTCCCAGAATAAGAAGAGAGGTAATCTATGTTATATTGTTTTGTCATGTGTTRATAAAATAAGTCTTGTCTTTTAATGAATGAGAAACAAGACCTCGCACTATTTAAGCTGTAAGGCAAGCCCATGTTCTAGGCAATGTGTATGTCTAAGTTGTATGAGCTCTGGAGCAGCCCTTCAACGTTTTGTAAGTTCTTATCCGATTGGTTTACTAGCTATTTCAATAAAATCAATAATCAATAAAAGAAAACAATAGAATTTAAGAACGAGGAAACAATGAGCATTGTTTTATTCCTCCAATCACAAGAAACCTTACTAACTCGTGAAGGATAACAGGAGCTCTGACCAGAAAAGCAACCAAAGAGTGAACATAGGAGTTAATCCACAAATCTGCAAGAATGATTGCTTAAATCTTTAGCTCTGAAAGACTTGTTTTACAAAAACCAAAAGTGCATTTCTTTCACGATTTGAGGGATCTAAATTATCTGCAACCAACAATATCGAGAATCCACACCAAAAAAGATGGCTGAATGTGCTAATTCAAAAACCCCAATGTCCCCTCCTCAAGGTGGCTTTTTGGATGTTAAAAATCTGAGTTGTCGTATTTGCCCTTTTTAATTGTCATTTTTCTGTTGTTTGCCATGTTTTGTAGGCTATTAGAGTTTTAGGTCTACTTGGAGCACTGGATCCGTATAAACACAAATTTAACCAAAGTCTCGGTGCAAACGATGATGGTACTAACATGACCAGCAAGGAAAGTGACATGGGTAAGCTGTCGTTACGTTAGGTAACCCTTACTATGCGGCGATTAGATGCACTGCATGTGACTGTGACTGTGTCTGTGACTGTGTTTGTAACTGTGACTGTGATTTTGACTGTGACTGTGTTTGTGACTGTGACTGTGATTTTGACTGTGACTGTGTTTGTGACTGTGACTGTGATTTTGACTGTGACTGTGTTTGTGACTGTGACTGTGATTTTGACTGTGACTGTGTTTGTGACTGTGACTGTGATTGTGACTGTGTTTGTGACTGTGACTGTGATTTTGACTGTGGCTGTGTTTGTGACTGTGACTGTGATTTTGACTGTGACTGTGTTTGTGACTGTG